GAGAAAAGAAGGGAGAAGAGGAGAGAAACCTCCCATAGCTGTCAGCCCAAAACAGCCGCTGTCAAGCTCAAGTCACCTTGGGAAGGGGCTACAAAGCAGACAATCTTTATTCACAATCGGGGTGGCAGACGGGAGATGCCTCCAGATCAGTCCAAAAGCAAAGATATTGGGAGGAAAGATGGCTCTAGATGGGGACTCAGCACTCATCCTCACCCAGCAGGGCATAAGGGTTTCGGGCAGCCAGGCAGGACCCTGGAGCTGAGGTTGGGGTGTCTTCATCCCCTTCTCCCTCCTCATCAGCATCTCGGTCCTCCTCTCCTTCCTCCTCACAGGAGCTGCTCAGCTCTTCCTCCTCCTCCTCTTCCTCGTCACCAGCTGGCCCCACCCTGCCCTGTAAAACCACCAGCTCCGTGGTCTCTGGATGAGACTCCCAGGTGCCTGGGGAACATAAAGAAGAGAGAAAATGGAGGAGATTTTTGAGCAAGGGATTAAAACCAGAGAAAGATGAGGGAAAGGCAAAGACTGCAAAAAAACAATGATTCTTGTAGCTGGCATTCATTCATTCAATTCATTCCTTCATCTAACCTTACATGAAGAGCACTGAGTGGAAGCTTGTTCATACTAAACCTCACAACCAGCTTTAGGTAGGAGTGTAAATCTGGAAAACATCTTAGCAATGTTAATAAACACAACTGGCCAGCAGGTACAGACCCACGTTTAACCCTCTCTTGTCTGGTCACCAAAGCCCACATTCTTTTGCCTATCCTGTAGCAGGGGCTGGGGAGAATATCTGGGTTCTGACCTTTCTGTTCGCTGTAGCCCGGGGGATAGAAACATAAGCTGAGACGACCATCCACTGCCAGCCTCAGGAGGCTGTTAGCCGCTCTGTATACATCGTTGCGAGCTGCTTTGGCTGTCTTGTACCCACGTTTCTCTGCCCAGGCTGCAAGGAGAAAGGAGAGAAACATGTGCATCAGGCTCCAGTCACTCCCACAAAAGTCCTACCAGTTTTCCTCAAAACATTCCAGGCCAGTGGCCAGATACCAGTGGCTCACACCTGTAGTCCTAACTACTCAGGAAGCTGAAACCTGAAGATTAAGGTTCATAACCCACCCAACCAGACAAACTTTGAGACTCAGTTATCTCTAATTAAAACTAGCAAAACAAAAAACAAAAACAAAAACCTGAAAGGAGCAGGTGCTGGAGGCTCATGCTTATAATCTTAGCTTCTCAGGAAGCTGAGATCTGAGGATCACAGTTCAAAGCCAGACCAGGCAGCGAAGTCCATGAGACTCTTATTTCCAATTAGCTACCAAAAAAGTCAAAAGGAGAGCTGTGGCTCAAGTGGTAGAGCACTAGCTTTGAACGAAAATGCCAAGGGATAGCATCCAGGCCCTGAGTTCAAACCCCAGTACTGACACACACCCCAAAAAAAACAAAAATCTAGAAGTGAGTGAACAAAGGCTTCGTTAAGTGCAGAATCTGGAGGAGGACACGAGGAAGGGACAGGGAAGCAAGGTCACAGCAGCCAGGCCAGGTGGGGAACTCACCTTCACAGATGTCCCAGGCACACCAGGGGTGCTCAGCGGAGGGATCCTCAGCCTCTGGGTGGCGGAGGTGGAGGATTGCCTGCACAGGGATCCTGGAGGCCAGATAGCCTACAGCAGTGTAGGGCTCTTGAATCTGGGCGATGGGGTAAATCCCAGCAAGAACCTG